TGAATTGCTAGAGGGGGTGTCTCCTCCTGCCCCCATCTCCTGCCCCGCAGGCACCAGTCACCTAGGAACAGAACTATTAGTAACAAACATGAGATTCAGCTTGGAACAGTGCACCTGCGGAAGAGAATCAGACAAGCTTGGGAAGCAGAGCTGGCCGGAAGAGGGTGGGAGTGAGGGGGAAACGTTTGTATTCAGACGGAGTAGCAGCCGAAAGCGCCCAATGCAATTTGGGGTGGCACATGCAGAGTCACCGTGTCCTGCAGCAGGGGCTGCCTCTGGCAGTGCGAATTCCCTGCTGGCCACCAGAACGAGACTGAAACCGGAGGAAGCTCAACCACATGTAGCTACAATGATCAAGGAGCTGAGGGGACCCAGGCACCGCAAGCCCCTGCCAAAGGTCTCAGCGCCTGCAGTCACATGATGAAACCAGAATCTCAACTTTCCTTCTGCAAAACTTGTCTAACCCTCAGAGGCACAAAGAAAGCCTGAAAACATGGCGTGAGCGTAGCCTGAGTTTGCAGAGAGCCTGCAACAATATCGCCACGGAAGCTTTTCTTCATGCAGTGCAAGGAGAGGGAAGGAGACTGCTTCCTACAGCAGCTATGACCGGTTGCTTGGCCCCAGGAGACAGCGCCAGCAGGGCATACAGCTAGAGAGAGATTTCCCACCCCCACCCACGGCTACACTGACCTGGAGCAACTCCCGTCATTGTAAAAGGGGTGCCAGCCTTGGCAGAAATCCCATCCCTGGGAGAGCTGGCTCTGAGAAGATAGGCCAGTCATACACCTGCTCCATGCCTCAGTTTCCCCTCCCATCCTTTCCTTACTTAGGCTCTTTGGGAGAAAGCTTCAGAGGACACAGCAAGTGCGGTAAAGCCAGGGTTAAATCAGGACTAGCCAGAGACAGGCTCACACCAGAAATCCAGATCAGAACTCCCCTGAACTCAGGAGAGGCGCAGATTCAAAGCCAAACCCAGAGGCCCTGGAAGGGAGGGTGCCCATGCAGACAGGGCGCACGGGAAGAGTTCTGTTCCAATCCAGGGATGAGAGCGGAAGCCCAGGCCGTGTACAAATCAATGGGGCTGTTGTTGGGAGTCTCTCTCTGCTAACCTGGGGGCCTGGCTCCGTGAAGCAGGAGGGGAAGAGGGCTGCAGCTGGCAAGCAGAAGCAGAGTCGGCCGGCCAGCTGTAAGGTGCGGGAGGAGGGAGATGGCCCAGCCTCCTCCTCTGCCATCATGGCCTAGCTCTGGAAAGCGGAAAAGCAGAGTCAGGCAGGCCCCTCCCTCTGGCCACACCCAGCTCTGCCTGGCTAGAAGACGGTGCCAGGGCACTCAGCCAAACAGCCAATTGGCCCCGTGCTACCAGAAGAGCTGTAGGCTCTGTCCCCATGTGTCAGCCACAGGCACGTCCCCATGCATCACTGCAGCCAAATGGCCCCCCCTGGTTGGACAGAGGTCCTGGGGGCCACGCTGCTGGCATGTGGAACAGGATCTAGCCCTCCCCAAAGCAGGATCCTGGGGAATTGAGATCTGCCAGCATCTGCTTCTGATTAAACCAAAGTTCTCTCCGTTTCCAGTGTGCGCAGGGGGCTGCCTCTGCTCCCGCATCCCGGCACCGCCAACCCCCCTCCCAGGCTCCACAGAAATCGACGGGGCTTACGCATGTCAGCAGGGGGCATAGGAATTTGCTCTTGACTTGCAGCTCCCCCTGCTACTGCAGTCCTGAGACACCCTCCCAGCTCCACCCCTGCACATCTGGCTGCAGTCCCCCCCTCCCCTGCTACTGCTGTCCTAGGACACCCCCCCAGATCCACCACAGCATCTCAGTTCTGCCCTGCAGCCCCCTGGCATCCACCTTTCCAAGGGAGCCAGTTGCAGTGGACGGAGTGAGGACATAACCCTACGCTCCCGGGGTGCCCGGCTCTGGCGTTCTTACTGTGCCAGGGAAGCCCGGCGAGACCAGCCTTGGACAGAACTTCCCCAGTGAGCAGAGCAAGCAGCCTCCGTGGGGCAGTGAGGAAGGGAGCTCCAGCCACGCCCAGGCCAGCTACATGCCCAATTTCCATCTCGCTCTGGGTTGGGGGTGGATTATGCATTTCCTCTCCCCCCCCCCCCCCAGCAAAGGCAAAATGTTTGCTTTGACACAGGCAGAAAGGAACGGGCCGGTCACTGCCTGAGCGAGCCCCACCCTGACGCAAGGCCGAGACGTCCCCTTCCCGTCACAAAACAGCCAAGAACAAGGATCCCCAGGCAAGCCGACAGGAAGCTGCAGAAAATAAAGGCTATTTTGAACTGGTTTCACTTCTTGCGCGGGTGTTTTCTGAGCCGGGTTCCTCCTCCCCTTGCAGCGTGGGAGACAGCTACTCCTGGAGTGCAGCTGAGAACTGATTTAACCATCTCTCAAGTAAGTGGCTTCATTTTCATCTTGCCTTTACCTTTATGCCGGGGGCAGCGCTGAAACGCGTGTGCTTATTTTTAAGCAGCCTCTACCTGCGTAACGAGGAATGAAATCCACTGGCAATGGGACACTTTGCCCCGAGGAAGGAGCATTCCTCTGTGCCACCCACACGTCGTTTTGCTTGGCCTGTTGCTAGCTCCAGCCCCTGGATGGAAGCGTGCATGATTTTGGTTTTGTGCAAGCACTGTGTGTTCCACTTAAGAGCGGCCCTGGATTTTATCAGCCCAGCTCGGGTTCAGAGTGTCTGCAGCGCCCTGCACAATACAAACTTCATGGCCTTCGAGCTCATGGGTCTGATTTCCCACACAGTTTCTCTACGTTTGTGCGAGCAGCACTTCAAAGACCAGTGAGTGTCACTGCTAGAAAACCGGGGTAGCGCCGGAAGGAAACAGGCCCCTGGTTTTTAAGTGTTTAAATCTTAGTGATTTCACAGAATAAGTGTAATAGAATCACTAAGGGACAGGAATAATAGAGAGCAATGGACGACAGGCCCCTGGTTTTTAAGTGTTTAAACCCTTAGTGATTTCATAGAATAAGTGTAATAGAGTCACTAAGGGACAGAACTCTGTACTCACCCATGGACTGGAGCGGTGAGTAGAGTAGGAATTAACCCATTTTGAGCTAGTAAAGTCATCAGGACGGCCAGACTGGGTCAGACCAAAGGCCCATTTAACCCAGTGTTCTGTCTTCTGACAGTGGCCATTGCCAGATGCCCCAGAAGGAGTGAACAGAGACAGGTAATCCGCAAGAGATCCCTCGCCTGTCAACCATTCCTAGCCCCTGACAAACAGAGGCTCAGGACACCATTACTCATTCTGGCCAATAAATTCATGGAGGTTAGGCCCCTCGGTGTTTATCTAGTTCTTTTTTGAACCCTGTGAAAGTCCTAATCTTCACAACCTCCTCTGGCAAGGAGTTCCACAGGTTGACTGTGCACTGTGTGAAGAAAAACTTCCTTTTGTTTTAAACCTGCTACCTATTAATTTCATTTGGTGACCCCTAGCTGAGGCACGAGTTTTGGATTCGTGCCCGGCCATAATCTCCATAGGATCAACTCAGTCTTCCCGGGGCCTGTAAACTAAGTACCAGAGGTGTGTGGGCCTTTCACAGGAGACCTTAAAAACTGGTTCCCTCTAGCTCATTGGCATGAATATGAAAAACTCACTGCTACTTTCCAGGGGAACTGGGGGTTTCCATGGCACCAATTTTACATTTGCCATCAACATGCAGGGCTGGCCCTTTCCCAGGGCTAGCCATCTACCCAGGAGGGACTTGATCTACAAACTCGCACCCCTTCCGGATCTGCCCCTCAGACGGCTGTGCACCACTCAGGAGATGCAGAAGGCCGTGGTGTAGTTATTCATACCAACTCCAGGCCAGGTTCACCAGCCTCTCAGATTAAACTCTGTCAAAGCTCTAGACCAAAGGTGGGAAAATTGACATCCCCCCCAAAAAAACCCCACAAAACCCCCCAATCGCTGGTCCCACACAAGTAAAAAGCAACTTAAATTTTAAGGTTTTGTTTTGTTTTTTTGAGAGAGAAATATAAAATGGCCAACTCACCAGCCGAGGAGGGGGGTAGATGATACAGAGAAATGGCTCCAGCTCCACTGGGGGAGGAGAGGGGGATGCTGAGGTTTGGGGCTTCTCACCTGGGGAAGGGTGAGGCGGCTTTTCCAGCTCCAGCCCCAGCAGGGGGGCCGGAAGGGGGGGTCCTGCCACCGGC